ATGCTGCCCCAGCGGGCAGGGTGTGGGCACAAGCCCCAGGCCTGGCCCTCGAGGGGCCCGGTCAGCGTGGCGAGGCAAGGACACAGCCTGGACTTGGCCTCGTGGCAGCGGAGGGGGGGATGGGAGAACAGGAACACAAGAGGCCGGCCCTGAAGGGCCGAGGGGCAGGGGGAACCTCAGGCACCCGGCTCCTGCTCCGTCCTGGCTGGGTCGCTGCTGTTAGCACCTCCACCAGAGGTGGGCAGGGGCCGGGGAGGCGGGGACATCCTTTCCATCCACCTGGACCACTCTTTGGCCACCAAAGCACGGAGGGATGGCCATCTGGTCCAAGTCAAACCAGAACACCTGCATGAGGGCCTGGGGTGGGTCAGCAACCTTTCCAGGGTGAGAGGCCACGACGCAGGCCCACGCTGGAGGGGAGAGAGGAGAGGGCCTCCAGCGGGGGAACAGGGGTCGGCACCTGCTGGGGTCCCCAAGGGCCGTGCTCAGCCCTGCTGGCTCACCTCCCTTGCGAGACGGCCGCAGAGAGAGGCCGAGTGGAGAAAGGCACTCCCCTGATGTCTGCAGGACCTTGGCCTTGGGAGTCAACTCTGTAAACTGCCTGCATCAGACCCCACTGAGCTAACTGTGACCTTGGCAGGGGAGTCGCCAAGGAGGGGTTTCACTCAGGTAGTGCTGCCCTCAAGAGCAGGGTCAGGAGAAGCTGAGCAGGTGCTGGGCCCCATCACTGACATCACACGGCGCGGTGGGGACCGCTCTGCACGATGGGCGAGGGCCTGGAAGGAGCCCCCCCGCCCCCGTGCGCGGACTCGGCCGAATGACGGAACAGCCAAGCACAGGGTCAGGCGAGAAGGCAGTTTGGGGAACTGTGGACAAGGCTCTGTGGACAGACGGACGGGGCAGGGGCTGGTGGGAGGAGGGAGCCGGAGGCAAGGGCCCCAGGGCCGGAGGACGCTCCTTGAAGCTCCAGAAACATAGGATGCCAGCGAGGCCATACACCACCAAGGTGCTAGGCTTCTGCTGTTGATTTTAACAGAAATTTTACATTGCATTGATAGGCGTAAACAACCCCCGCCCCCAAGACAAACCCATTATTCAGCAGTCCCACTGTACCACTCGAATGCTTGTTTGTGGAGGGTCCCTCGCGGCGGAACGGTGGTGCATCCTCTCTGGGCTCTGCAGACCTAGGCTCCCGGGAGGTGGCTCTGAAGCTCCTTCCCAGGAAGGCAGGGCCAGAGGGTGGGGAGGGCCGGTCCCTTGTGGCCTCCACCCATGGCCCTGCCCACAGGCTTTCCCATGAGCACCCCCACTGCCCTCTCAGGAGGTGGTCTCTACTCTGTCCAACTCGCTGAGAGCACCCTACTCTCTGCTGCCCCGCACCCAGAAGCTTGACTCCTGAGCACACCAAAAGCTCTGGACTGGTCCCAACCGTCTTGTACTTAAGGGGAGAAGGGGGCTGCTGGCTGGGTGGCCAGGTCTCAGCTCTCGAAACAGACAGGTGGAGGCTGGGGAGGAGACAGGCCCCCCCAGGAGGTCAGGGCACCCATCCAAACAGTGCAGAACAAAGGCAGCACCCAGGTGAGGCCCACCTGGGGAAGCACCAGCTGGTGGGGAAACCTTTCCAATCTCAGCCCCATGGATTCTTGACTTATGTTTTTAACTGCACAACTTGCTTAGACCAGCATGAACCCTAGTCGGGGCACCTCGCTGCAGTCGGATGCCCCCCAACTGTCCATCTCCAGGCCCTGACTCAGGCTGCTTTGTCCTGGGGCTACCGTAACAGGATCCCGTCTGACCTCTCTTGGGTCTCGGTACTCTTCCTTGGGGTCGCAGAGGACGTGATCACCAGTCACCCCAGCATCAATGAACCCCAGGGAAGGAGATGAGGGTCCTGGGACCCGGGTGGACATCCCTCCCTCCCTCCCAGCAGCGAGTCAGCAGCTGAGTGACTCTGGCTGGACCGATCACGGGCTCCGCCCTCCCCTCTGGTGGTCGTGGGTCCTCTGCCGCTGTCTGAGCAGCTCCATGGAAGGACCGCTTCCCCTTCCAGAAGCAATGTGAGAGAGTAAGCAGCGTCTGAACTAGAGAGGTATTTGTCCAAGAGTTTCTAGCAGGAA